AGACAAAAGAGCTACACAGACAAGAGACGAAAACCCTTGGAATTCCAGGTTGGCGACCGCGTTCTGTTAAAGGTCTCACCCTGGAAGGGCATGATGCACTTTGGAAAACATGGAACACTGAATCCAAGACCAGTAGCTTACAAACTCCGTCTACCACAAGAACTAAACATCGTACACCCCATCTTCCACGTATCAAATCTAAAGAAGTGTATATCTGACGAGACTCTTGTTATTCCACTCGATGAAATCGAGATAAACGAGAGTCTGCAATTCGTGGAAGAACCAGTAGAAATAATTGATATGGAAGTCAAACGAATGAAACAAAGTCGCATACCAATAGTGAAGGTTCGTTGGAACGCCAAGCGAGGACCTGAATGTACTTGGGAGCGAGAAGATCAGATGCAACGAAAGTACCTGCATCTTTTCCCTAGTTCATGATGTACTCTCTATAGAAGAAATTTCGGGACGAAATTCCCTCTAACGAGGGGATAATGTCATAACATGTTGTTTCAAGTCAATAAAAGTCTAAACTACAAGCATGTACAAGTAAATTCACAACCTAACTTGATGCAATAAGAAATTTAAATGCCAAGAGTGCATGCTTATTTAACTTATATGTAAGTATATATGCGAAATAGTGTTAATGCAGGCAAATACAAGTCCAACATGTAACTTAATAATTAAGGGTATAAATGTAGTTTTCGGTTTTGGGAATCAAATCCCAAAGCCAAACCAAAAACACCTCCTTTTGGAATAAAGCAAACCGTAAACACCCCTTTTAGAAAGTCATGACTGTAAACCCTTTTCCCTTTGACTCAAAACCGCAAACCCCTTTTCCATTTGACCTTAGGACCGGAATCAAGATAGATTTCAGTCATATAGGACCAAAAACAAAAGGTTTAAGGCCCATTAAGGCCGAAAACCTCTTCTATATATATGTTTTCAACCGTGAACCCAAGTCATTTCTCACTTTCTAGGCCGCAAACACCTCACTTTTTGCTCTCAAAACTCATCCGTGAACCTTCATATCTTCATAAAATATTGCCCAGATCTTCTTATTTCCACCAAGAACACCAAGAACAATCTTCAAATCTTCAAACTTCCACCCATGAACACTGAAAACCCCTCTTGCACACCGAAAACGTCAAGAACGCTCCAAATAATTCCAAATAATTTTTGTAAGTATTTCTTACATAATTAAACTGTTGTCTAACACTTTAATTATTATATAAATCATTATTTAATTTATTTTTTAAATTAATATCTTATTAATTTAAATACGACGTCGGAAATAGTTATTTTAGGATACGACTATTTCCACGTACGCTAGCCGATGATCGTCACTACAGTTTGCTATTCAAACACGAACTTACATTCGAGGTCAGTTCATATCCCTACGTTTTCACTATTTTTTAATGTTTTTAGGGGGGGGGGAAATACAAGTAAAATACAAGGACTCTTGTGTTAACATTCAAACGATTTCAAATCGTTTCAAACCATTTGCAATTGTTTCAAACTGATTTATTGCTACATTTTATCAAAATATATTTATATATATATAAATAAGGTTCAACAGACTTAGAATTGGCAATTCCGCCCTAAATCCTGTTCCTTGTCTCGTTGCGGGTTTACGATAAAATTACTTATTCGAGTGTCTTTTCACTCTTAATTATATACGCTGTGAATATATATGAATATAAAATATATTTCATTATGATGTTAACCCATTTGTAACATGTTGAGCAAATTGGTATTTTTCACAAAACTTTTACTACCGCTTTATACACACTGTTAGATTGCAAAGCTTTTCAATTCACTACCGAGCATACATTTAAACTATAATAGGTATAGTTTGCGAAACACTACATTATTTTACAAGCTCAAGAACACTATACCGAAACAAGTATATAAATTATAATAGATATAGTTTATGGAACACTACTCAATTTCACTAATTCAAGGATACACTACTAAAATAATTATTTAAGTATAATTATTTTACATTACAAAGTACACTACTACAAGGTAATACATACAGATTAAAGTACAAGAGAACACTATAACACTACACGTAAACTAGTTAATACAGGATTGTGAGCCACTACTTCATTTTACCTTTTATGGTATACTTTAAAGTCCTGATTATAACCAGAGTCTCCTGGAGGGAGAGCGTGGATTTGTGTGTAGATCTATACGGGGCTGACAATCCCGCACCTAAACTGTTAGCTACAGTTAGACCGGCAGGTCTGGGGTGACAAGTATCATAACATTCTGATGTCTGGAGAACGTCGCGCAGGCCACTAGTCATTTTAGCATGGTTATAAACTCACTCACAATAAGTATTAACTAAACATTTTGTTTACGTGATAAACATATATTTGAAGGTTTTATTTTGATAATAGAACTACATTACATTATACTACTTTACAGTACAACTGGTGGATTCCAGGCACATTAATACAAAAGGGTTTTCATACGAATATAATATCAGTACACTATTTTGCCAATGCGGTATACTATTTCAGAGTACAGTAACAAACCTACATTTTGGTCTTAAGGCCTAAGACTGCATTTCATTTACTAAAGAAAATATTAGATTTTCTGGAGGAACACACGACAAGGTTTTCATTACAAAAACATACTTATGAACTCACCAACTTAAATGTTAATACACTTTCAAAGTCACTTGTATTCTCAGGGAACCAGTAGACAGGTACACTACAGGTTTTTGAGAAGACGGAGCATCCACGGTGTCTCGTCTATAGTTTTTGCTATACATTTTGAAGTCATACAAACAATGTTGCAAATACAATGTAAATAATACATTATCAATGCAATGGTTGTTGTTACTTTGATTTCTATTATGCAATTGTTGTAATATTGTACATGACGTCCTCCGCCCCCAAACGTTTCCGCTGTTCCGGTTTGGCGGTGTGACAGACAACCTTTGAGTAATCCCCCCGGTGTAGCGTATGGGGTATTTTGCGAAGATTCCTTGGAAATGCACATCGACTTTGATGAATATGGGATCCATGTTTGAGGTTTGAGGAGATGAAAGCAAGTAAGGGTTTATCGAAAGAGATGAAGGTGGTAAACAGTCGACGGGAAAATATATCGTTTAAGTAAAGCTATTATTAAATGACATGACATACACAGTCAGCAAGTCAAGGGATTTAAGTAACACTGGTGGCATAAATATGACCAGCTGACCCATTCATAAATGAAATAATGACGTAATCGACTCGACAAAATAAACTTCAATCCCTCATAAAGCCACTAAAAAAGTTAAGTGACTAAAATGGTAAATCCTAGAAAGTTCATATGTCGTATGTGTCATTTTCCCTAATATAAACGCACGTATAACCGTGTGCACCATTAGAACCTATTACTCATTCAAAGTTTTATCCTTTTTATTTGTATAAATGCATGTTATTTTTAATACAAAAGAATATACATGCACATATGTATGTATATATTTAGTATATCATGTATATCTTAAATGATGGTTAATTGTGGTTCAAGAACAAACATATATAGTTTTTGTATTATGTATCTTGTATAATAATGTGTTCTATTGGTGCATACGGTTATATATACGTTTATATTATGTATAACTTGGTGACAACTGAGTAATCAAAGTATAATGATGTTGTGAAAAATATGAAATGAAAAAAATGACATTTGACCTTCAAAAAATAGAAAAATACAAAACTACCGTAGGTAATTTGTAGGTAAATACCTACCGATAACCTACGGATATGCTTTATCCGTATGTAATCCGTGGGTATTTACCTACAGATTACCTACGACAATTTTTGTATTTTCTATTTTTCGAGGGTCAAATGTCGTTTTTCTCATTTTATTTTTTTCACAGCATCATTATATTTTGATTACTTGATTTGGACTAAATGATACATAATATAAACAAGGACCGGTCATTTTCCTGCTTCTTCCGACACATACCCTTTGGTGATAAACTTTAGTTCGTTCAAAGCATAAGCACCATGGACCTCTCCCCTGTCATCAAAGATACAAAGTTTATTTGAAAAAATTAGTACCTTTTATGGAGCCAACGATAATGACAAGCTTTTGGGGGAAATCGGAGTTTGTGAGGTCGTCAAGCAACAATCCTAAGAGAAGAGATTTCCCCATTCCTCGTACATCTCTCTAAAATTCATCCACCAAAATCATCCCTCTCATCGATGCTACCATCATCGTTATCACCACAATTTACAATTTCCATCACCGCCATCACGGCCCACTACAACCACCGCCATTAGAAACATTAGATCTAACCTTCCCTCACCTATCACCTCTCATCGCTCACCCTCTCACACTCAATCTAAGCACATGAAAGGTAAATTTTCTTAGAGAGGGATAGAAGAAGCGTGCAAGAAAGAATTTCAGGAGAGAGAGAGAGAGAGAGAGAGAGAGAGAGAGAGAGAGAGAGAGAGAGAGAGAGAGAGAGAGAGAGAGAGAGAGAGATGATATCCTCGCCTTGCCATGTTGTTCTTTTTGAAGCCCATACCACACAGTGTGGGGGAAGAGGGAGTACCGAAGAAACAGTACAAAAAACCTTAATAATAATACAAAAAACACTGTAACTTGATGTGCTCTTATGCACAGTATTTAACATTTTTGACAAATGTTATGTTTTATAATGTGCATACAAAGTTTTTTTTATTTGCATAAATGCAAATTATTTTAGTAATAATAATAATAATTTAAAACTAGATTAATAATAATAATCTAGTTAGAATACATAAACTAGAATACAGATAAGGAAAAAAGTTAATTGATATTGTCGTTGCCTGCGTAGACTCTTGTTATTATTATTATTATTATTATTTATTTTCTGAATCTAATTTAATTTTCATGGAATAATGACCAAAATAAAATAATTTTTTTAAGTTGTAGTAGGAAATCCGTTTTTCTTTTTTTTTTTTTTTTTTTTTTTTGAAAAACCAACTCCTTACCGTTAGGCAAAGACGCTTTGTTGAGAAGAATCAAATAACTCCCGATTTTCTGAAATTTGCGAGGTTAATCCCCCCTTTTTCTCACACTCTTCCTCATCGCTCACGTCGCCTCTCCTTCTCCTTCTCCTTCTCCCTCCTCTGCCATCGCCATCACCGATTCAACATCCACCACCGGTCCTCCTTGCCTTCACATCTCGATTAAAGCTCCGTCTAGCTGGAATGCCTCGCCGCTGTCTCCGGTGAATGAGGAAGACGATGTCACTGAAACCCTCACCGCTCCGTTGTCTCTCTCTTTTCCGATATTTCAAGGGAAGACTTCGCCGCCACCGTTCCACTCCTGTATGTCAGCAGCCATCGTTCTATGTTTTCGGTGATTTGTGCTTGAGGCTATATAGTTCTTTTGTTGGTAAGTTCTGTGATTGAATTGATGTTTTTATTCCGGATTCGAAGGTATTGCTTAGGATCTTTGACAGATCGGTACTGAACTCTGTTTTCTTGTGGTATTTGAGTCTTTTGTGGGAAGATATGGTTTGATCCATCACTAAAACTGGCATCTATTATAAATGTTTTTTTTTTTTTTTTTTATCAAAATCTTCCCAGATTAATTCAAATGAATCTTTCAGTATTTTATGTTGAATACTAATTTAAACTGTTATTTTCTTTTGCTTTTGTTTAGTATCGCCTTTTCTTTGAGTTTGATTAACAATTATGTGGGTTAACTATCGTCCAAGATCTTTCTAGGGTTAAGAAGATGAAAATTCTTGAAATTAACAAATTTCTTAGCGAGCTCTATTTTAGTAATGCTTCAAATTATTTTATTTGTGTTTGTTATTTTGTTTATGCGAGTCACCGTGTAAAATTTAGGGATGAAACTTATTTGTGAGTTGGATCAACATATGTGTGGCTTTAACAAGTTTGACATGGAATTAAATGCAGGATTAAGAAATAACTCTTTTATGCTTTTTTTCATACAACGAAATGGTAAATCAAACTTGGTTGTTCTAAATTATTTTATTAACTGATTAGTACCTAAATGGTTTTTGGGTTTTGAAAGTTAAGGAGTTAATGCTTCCATGGTTGGTTTCATTAGTTGATGTTGATGTTTGCATTAATCTGTTTAATAGATATTGATTTTCTAATTTGTAATTTTTTAAATCTAACTGTTACACTGTTATATAATTGGTGAACACTTTATTGTTACATTTACATATATTAACTATATGGTGTTTGTCTTGCCATTTTTTTCATATATAATTGGTGAACACTTTATTGTTACATTTACATATATTAACTATATGGTGTTTGTCTTGCCATTTTTTTCATAAAGGAGTTGCTAGAACCGGTGTCAAGCATGCAACAAACCCCTATGGATAAAAGGCAAATTCAAATTGACTTGCAATTGCAAGAAAGATAAAATCAAATGGATTTGCAGATGCAATAAATACGAAAAGAAATGGAATTGCAATTGGCGGTCTTTATGTGAATTCAATCATCCCGGTAATCCACCGAGTAGTTTTTAGTTTTTGTTTTAAAACACTTGATTAGTCTAAACTCTTGTAAAGGTATTTTGACTATTTTAATGTACTAGCATGTTATGTGGTTAGACTATTTTATTGTTAATGAATGTAATGGTATTTGATTATTATCATGTTTAATTAGTTTTGTAGTTTCTTTTTTGAGCAGAAAAAACTAGGTAATTTTAAAAAAATAATTTAAATGTTAAATTCAATTTAGCTACAGATTAGTAACGAAAATTTTTGTCACAAAAATTTAGAAAAAAATGAAGGAAATTTGTAGGAAAAAGACTATGTAGGTAATCTGTAGGAAAATAATTCCATAGGTATTTCGTAGGAAAATAGTTCTTTAGGTATTAGGTTGGAAAAATGTTTTGTAGGCATTCTGTAGGTACATTTGTAACGGAATTGTCCGTAGGAAAACCAAAGGCAATTTTGTAGTCAAATTGTAGGAAAAAAATTACCCTATTACCCACAGGGTTTTTTCGTACAAACTAGTTTTTGTAGGAATTTTCTAGGTAACGCTCAATTCCTACGGAATTCCTACGAATAATGTTGTAGGTATTTAGCCAATTTTCTAGTAAGAAAAGGTCCTCAAGGGGTAATTTGGTCCAGTTTGAAAAATGACAAGAATAGTTGTTTTAAGCATGATCTTGTATGTTTATAGATTGATACACGATTCTTTGCTGTTGGTTAAAAGGAAATTACAACATCTCCTAGAAAAGCAATGCAACATGATTTCTAATGATGTTCATGAATCATAGAAGGACAAGGAATTAAATGCCCAATTCTCGTTTAATCTAAGCCCCAGTCATCAGCATATATATATATATATATATATATATATATATATATATATATATATATATATATATATATATATATATATATATATACACGCTGACATCAAAGTCATTGATTCTCTGATTGGATTCTCTCGTTGGGGTTCTGAAAAAGTGAAGCATAGTCATGTGAATTGATGTCTCATGGTATGAGTATGAGGTTTGAAGGAAAGGAAAAGCATTGCAGAAAAAGGTGCAGCAGGTAGGTCCTCTTCCTCAGGGGTAGTTCGGTCCAGACTACAAAGAAACTGATGGAATCTCTTTTAGGCTGCAGGTCTAACCTCAAAGAAAGACAAGTAACGTGATGAAACATATCTGGGAAAGGAACTATGTCAACAATGGGTCAAATGCTATAGTAAAAGTACAATGTGATGTGAACAGATCATGTGAGAGTTCTGTATGGCTGATCTCCTTGGTAAACTGTCTTTTTTTTTTACAAAAGTCAATGCTTCATCGATTTCAGTTCCTCATTAAGCTGCAACAGATGGTTTTCTTACCGGTAACGAGGAGTCACCAGGACCAATGGATTAAAGCCTGAATAAATCTATTGAAACGTTGTTTTAAGGTCATGTGTTCTGGTTCAAGAATCCTTTAAACAAGCATCCGATATTAATGCAGTCAGGTTCAAACTCCCATCAACGTCCTTACACTGAGTTATAGTCTCGTCTCAAATCACCAGCATCAACTTGTTCATGGTGGCTGCACTAACAATAAATCCACAAATGTTAATACAAAGGATTGGACCTTATGGAGCCTAGCACTCTATTTCTTTTGTGGATTTGATCTGTCAAAATTCCCTGTAAATGTATAAATTAACCGAGAGATGGTTAAAAGATGACAAAGATAGCTTTGAAGAAGGAAAGTCAAAGCTTAAAACTCCTTCAAGTTTTTTTACAGGAACATGAACTGTGATTTACAGGGGTATTTTAGTCAACTGGTACAATATCACGTGACTCTGTTTGTAAAAAATTGATTAAATGATGTACCAAGAAAAAGAGATGCATTGGGTTTCTCATGATTTCCCAGGAATAGAGAAAGAGAGAAGAAAGAAAACAGGTTGTCTGATACAAAGCAGATACAAAGAAGTAAAGAGAAAAGTTTGAAAAAGGTTTGTTCAAGATGTTCTGTCACCTGCGTTCTGTAAATGAAGAAGAGACAACTTTTCTTGTTTGTCATAAATGGCCGCTGATGTTTGGCTAGTTATCATACCAGACCTCCTGTCACTTTCTCTTTTTAAATTTTAATAAAAAAAATGTTTTTCAAAAGTTTTTTTAATTAAGTTTTAACTCTTTTCAGTTAAAAAAGAAACTTTTTTTTATTAGGGTTTTGCTTAAATGTCTCTAGTTTTTAAATTTATTTATTTTTAGTCTTTCATATTTATTTTGTTGTTTTAAATTCATAAATAATTTGTTAATTAAATTTCCTTTTAAGATAAATTTTCTTTCATATATTTGTTTCTAGTTCTTAAATGTATTTCGTTTAACTCTTATCTGGTATATTTAAATTTCTAGTTATAGTTTAAAATATAAAATATATATATATATATATATATATATATATATATATATATATATATTAATTTTTGTTTATGTTAACTATTTTTAGTTACTAATTTTGTTAGTTTCTATTTTCTAGTTGATTTTATTCAGTTTCAAGTATAGATTTTCTATCTGCTTGATAGAAATATAAGGGGGGAGAATGCTCAAATATGAATCATCAATCATCAGCGAAGGGAGAGCAACAAAGACTAACCTTATTATATTGTTGTTGATGTAAGTGACATGTGTGCAAATCTAATTCTCATGGTGAATCCTAGGACGAGCTCACATGTACCAAGTGGTGAAATCATCTGCTGATAATGTACTAATGGATTGATGGTGAAAATTGAAAAGAAAGTAGTAATGATTTTTGAAGCTGAAACATATGTTTTATCTGGTATGGTCACTCATCCTAAAAACTCATTGTACCTCTCATGTTTTGATGGTGGCATGTCTTGAGCCAAGTATGTAACTTATCACTAGATAATGTCCCTAGAAGCATGTTGTTGTATGTGCCCAAATCTCTCTAAGTGTGTCATCAGCGAGATCATCTGCTGAGATGACATTGAGTCGCCCACTCACGATGATTGTCTAGCATCGTTTAAACTTTCAAAGTGAGATTGCATGGTCCAAATCAAAAAAATTATAGAAAGGTTTGGGTGTTTTTGGTTAATCCTCTCTTACCTGACCTCGCCTCCTCGCTCCTGGAAGCATGATTGTCGTATGCATCAAGTCTCATGTTCTGTTGAAACATCGAGCATAACCCAATGACTTACTTTGATTGCATAGTCATCATCGTAAGAGATACTTGTCTGGTCCTTAAACGACAAAGGGTTATTCATGTCCTTGACCTCCTAGTCTGAGGTATGACATGGTACCATTAACGAAGTGACGGTGAATATTTGATTCGGACTGCAACTAACTTTATGATGCAAGGATTAAACCACTTCTTGCTGATGAACTATCACTATCAATGATTCACGCTGATTTCACCTTAGCGTAATTGCGACATCCTACTTCTCTTCCACAAGTCTTCTTTATAGAAATTGATGATTCACTATGTAAAACCACACACTGATAAAAGTTTGAAAGTCTATGCCGATGGTTAGTCTATGTACCGTAGGCTATCACAGGCACCATGTAACATTCCGTTTGAAATTAAGTAATTAAATAATAAACACTGAACCCCAAGATGTAAATTTATATTTTATATTATTTTATAGTAGCCCTAAAATCCATAATATTTAGCGGGGTGTTGGTTTTGGGGAGTTAAATGATATAATTTGGATTTTGGGGATAAAAAGTGTAAGACCGGATTGGTTTTGTAAAAATTTTCAGAAGTCAGGGGGTGTTTAGTAAATACTAGACTTAAATTGAAGGATTTTGGAGGCTAAGGGGTTGAATGGTAAATTATGGAGTTGTTTTGAAAAGAATTTGGGATTGAGGGACCAAAGGCGTGTTTTGAATAAAAATTTGAATGGAACACGGGATTAAACCTGGTGCCATCTTTCCCTCTCGTTGCATCACCCAAACCCTAAACCTAATTGACTTTCTTCGGCCGCCACCTTTGCGGCCGCCTCCTTCTGTGCTCTAGTTGCCGCCTGCCACCCGAAGTGGCCGAGATGGGTGCGTGCTTCTCGATGAACTCGTGTTGTGTGTGTTTCTGCTTCACCGTGAAGTGTTTGTGGGTGCTCGTTTGGCCAAAAAAACCTGAGAAAAACCACAATGATTGCCAACCATGGTGGCTGCCACCATATCGTTTTCTTCTACCGCCACCAGCCACCGTGAGGAGGTGGCTGTGTGCGTGACTTGGTGTGTGTATGAACGTATTTCACGAGTTTGATGCTGTATGGATTTCTCTTGGCCAGGAAACTGAAGGAAGCTCATCACCACCATCGTGAGGTGGTGGCCACCACCTTCTGTCGCCGTTCCACTACTGCTAGCCACCATCTCCAGTGGCGGTGGGCCTTCGGGTGCGTTTGGATTGATGTTTGGAGTGCTTTTGGTGTTGTTTTGGCCTAAAATCATAACCACCGTGAGGCGGTGGCTGCCGCTGTGAACCACCGCCAACCACCACTGCCTAAGGTGGTAGTGGGTGGTACCCGACTTATTAGACTTTAATTAATGTAAAAACTTAACCATTGGACTAATTGGCTTGTGATTGGATTGGAAACCCTTGTTTTGGAGATGTTAAGTTTTGGATTTGTCGAGACCCGCGTGTTGGACCAGTGAATTGAAGTTATGACTTATGCTCGATTACTTTGTATGTTTGGCCTATTGGAATGATGGACTTAATGGATTAAGTCCTTAATGGGTTAAGTAATAACACTTAACCCTAATCGTCATTTTATGTGAAAAATCCTAACTAGGCTTGGGTCCTTGTTGGGCCATTTCTTGGACTAAGTTGTTGTGGGCCTTTGTAGGCCAATTGGGAACAGGTTTATGGACTAAAGAAATTATTGGGGCTTTAGAATAAGGTCCATTGGAAAGGCTTGGGCCCAATTTGGAAAATTGGGCCATAGGTGGGCCATAATTGGGCCTTGATGATTATGAGATATTGGAACATCGAAATGCCAAGTGTTTGGACTAGAATAAATGGTTGGGCCTTAAGGTAAGACCATGTAGAGGTTTGGGCCCAATTTGGAAAATTGGGCCATATGTTGGGCCTTGGTTGATTATTTGGCTTT